GCTTTGTTTGGGAAAGAAGAGCAGGTAGTACTAAAGAGAAGCAAGTGTAACAAGAGTTCAAAGATAGGAATTGGTGTGTATTGTTTTTTTCCCTCCAATTTCTTTATCATGAAGGCTCCCTTTAACACATTAACTGCTATATGAGTTGTATTTAACTCAGGCTAGTTTTGAGCCCAGGATCTTGTGAAGCAAAACTTGGGAAAAACCCTACAGTTGGTGTGTGAAAATCTTCTTGATGTTCTTATTGTTACAGTTAATATTGATAATTCTAAAAATGTGGATTAAATGAATAGAAGTCAATACATTTCATTTTTCTGTTTATGGTTACCTTTAAATTACCCCTCAGCCTGCTAAGTCAAGAAAAACACTTTATGCTTATGAACTATTTCTCAAGTTTTCACATTATTGATTATCAGGTTTTTAATATTACCTTTTTATTTAGCAACACAGAAAACAATAACAAATACATTTTTCATTACATTAGAAAGGATCCTTTTGTTTTTGAAATTTTTACACCATGTCCCCAAGGAAAAATTTTTTTCTAGTGTGGCAGTCAATGTGTTAAATTGCTTTTAATACTGTGACTGTATCAGATACTTTGGTTAAGACAGGGAAGCAAAATGTTCTGTTTAGTCTCTTTATAAAAAGAAATATATAAGTACAACTTAATTGGATGAAAATAATAGTAGTTTTACCTGTTTCTCAGGAATTGGAAGATCTGTTTTCCATTTCTGAAACTAGTGAGGTCTGGGGGAATGCCACATAATCACAGTTTTTCCTTTTGTCTGAGATTGGGTCATGGTCATGTGCTAGTGGTTTTCAAATAGAGTAGCTAAGTTCTTTTTAAAGAGAAAATTTATGTGGTAACACTAATATTTAAAAAGGTGGAATTGCTCTGGTTTGAGTGAAGTGTAATAACAAATCTGAGAACTTGGAAACTAAGACTAGATGACAGCCAAGAACCTCTAATGCCTACCTGTTATCTTTAAATTCGGAAGGATCTAGTAGCAGTAAGAACTTGTGAAATTATCTTATTTTGGACCAAGAGCCAAGGAAAAGCATAGCAATTTTTCATTCTGCTTCAAGTTAGTCTGCTTTAAGCACATTAAGAGGTAGGATTCAGATTTCTGTTGCTAATCCTCATAATCATGCTTGAAGGCAAACTACTTTCGTATGATTGGGAAGCTGCTCCATATTGATCTAGTGGCCGTAATTTGGGGGAAAATGAAGAACAAGCCTTGAACTTAGATTTGGTGAAAAAAGTACTAAATGAGGTGGGCAGATACTCGAGAATTATGCAGAAATGAACCAGATGAGGATAAACATCTTCACATATTGCTTGTTCAGAAAGTGATCAAAATCGATCTGTTTTGCTCATCCTATAAAACAAAATTTATCTCCTTTTTCTTTTATACTGTAATTAAATCTGTACCTGTATTCCTGTTTGCCTGTATGTTTAAGTTTAGTCTGGTTTTCTGTGTCTCCCTTAAATGAAAATTTGGGTAATCTCATTTTAGATATTTTTAAAAGTTTTTTGTTGGTAATAGCTGACAGTAACTCATGACTCATTGTGTGACAGATGCCTGTTTTGTCACTCAAAGGTGTTAACTTTAAATGGTATAATTTTGAATATAAACATCTTGTTTGTTAACTTCCCGAATTTTGTTTTGAGATTATATTTGTTCTGTTATAGAATGAACTAATAAGCATGTTTAGAATGTTTAGTTTTGTAGTTTCTTTTTTCAAGATACTGTGCTAGAAGTTTATCTGATTTAGATAGACTAGAAAATGTGATAGGTTGTTGCTGGGTGCCAAAGCTATATTGTTACAAGATTATAAGATTATTGCCCTTGAATGTTATATTGCCACAAATAAGAATGTTTGTAATTTTACAACTGGAAACTCGTTATTGGGTTTAATAACTTAAGACAATTATGGTAGGATACATGTTGGAAATACATACCTTTGAGGTTCTTATATCTAGTTTTAAGAAAATTGAATATTGGGGATAATGATGAATTCTTCATAGTGATTTCCCCCTCTGTATATTTACATGATTACAATAAATTTGAATGTGTAAAATCTCAACCAGTGTGAGGTTTATTTGTTCTTAGGTTTATTCCTTTTTTTTAAACCAAGAATTGCTGACGTGATCTTGTCTCTGAGTTGTTTTAGCTAAATGATTCAATCTTTTCCCCTGTGTTTGATCTTTCAGGTTGGACATATTTGACTTTCTTTTTCCAGGTTGAATTGACCAAAGCAATGGTGATGGAGAAGCCTAGTCCCCTGCTGGTCGCGAATTTGTGAGACATATATACACTGCTGAACCAGGCCCAGACATGCTACATAGGTAAGATATATTTCTCCTGCATTATCCAATGCTGCTTTTTAGCATGTGGGTACTTATCCTTGAGGTACTCTCATTCATCATGTGCCTGTGTAGGCTGTTGTATCATATAGTTCTTTGTACATAAGTACCAATAAATAATGGCTGTTAAAATTATGTAAGAATTTTAAAGAGAATATGTAACTATTATTTTAAAAGTTAGACTGAAGTTACCTAAACTTACATATTATCAGAAAATAACACCCGAAAATGTAAAGGTATAATCATGTATTTGCTGAGAATGTGCTGAAGAAGATCCATGACTATTCCTGTAATAATATACTTTTGTGTGGATATACTTTTTAAAACTGGAGCACATTTTTAGTAGAAATGATGCATGCTACTGTTAGAACAAAGATGTATAAGCGAATTTATGGAAGTATGTAGTAATACTGCACTAAAATTTTCTGTGTGTATGCAAACATTTTAATATACTTTTAGCTTTTTTTTTTTTTGAACTTGATTTGGGGTCGTACATGGATCACATTCATTTCAGTGGCCACCAAATCTCTTATTTTAGGGAGATGTATCAAACTTTTCTCTCCTAATGATGGGTATATAGATGCTTTCACTGTTTGCTTTTTACAAAAAGTGTTGCATTATACAAATTCTATTAATGTGGATTTGTTAGAATGAAGTTTCAAAATGCAGATTTGCTAGAACAGATTATTTTTCCTTTATGTTTAGATCAGCTTGCATATTGGATGCCACATGGTTATTAAGTGTGTAAAGGAAAATTTATAAATTTGTTTTTAATACAGGATTTGGCATTGCTCTGAAGATGGAAAATATCTTTTTTTAAAGGCTTTATAATTCCAAAACATTTTATCCATTTTTCTTGGTCCTTATAAAATCCTTGTAGTAAGGATTGTAGGATTCTTAACCTCATTTTGCAGGTAAAGAAATTCGGGTTGAAACTTTGATAGTATGCATTTACATGACTGTTAGGATAGGTCTTTTACTTTCTTTCCTCTTTTTTTTTGTAGTGTTTTATGTCAAAGTTTAAAAGTTGGATATGAATTTGAAGTTTAAAAGGAGCAAGAGTTGATAGAAACTAACCAAATACACTAAATATTTCTTGTCAATATTGTTATTTATTGATTTTAAGACATCCCCCACATTTCCTCTTTTAGGTGCATGTTAGGCCAATGAAAAGTGGTTGGCCAGTAGTGAACTGATTCTCTAGCTAGTTTGCATCTTTTTGATAAACTTTAAAAGTAGGAAGGCTAACTTGGGGGGTTCTTGTGGGCCCAGATCTGTCCTCTTTTTGCGTGTGAGGGATATAGAATAATATGTACTGGCTCATGTGTGAAAAAATGTTTCTTTGGAAGACAATGTCAAGAAATCCCAATAGTGTTATCTCTGGGATAGAGCATTTTGGCGTGTGTTTTTTCCTGTTGGAGTATTTACTATTGTAATGGAAACGGTGCAGTTGAGGGTATAGGGGAATGAAAGCTATAGGAATTGAAGTCTGAAGTTCTTACTGTATCAGCAGAAATTGTTAACACATTAACTGCTAGAGAATGTATTTAACTCACTCTAGTTTTGACCCTGGGGACACGTGAAGCATATATAAAATTTTACTTGTTGATGTTCTTATTGTTACAATTAATATTGACAGTTCTTTTTTTGTTTGTTTTTGAGACAGAGTCTTGCTTTGTTGCCCAGGCTAGAGTGAGTGCCGTGGTGTCAGCCTAGCTCACAGCAACCTCAAACTCCTGGGCTCAAGCATCCTTCTGCCTCAGCCTCCAAGTAGCTGGACTACAGGCATGCGCCACCATGCCCGGCTAATTTTTCTATATATTTTACTGGGCAATTAATTTCTTTCTATTTATAGTAGAGACGGGTCTCGCTCTTGCTCAGGTCTTTGAACTCCTGACCTTGAACAATCCACCCACCTCAGCCTCCCAGAGTGCTAGGATTACAGGCGTGAGCCACCGGGCCCGGCCATTGACAATTTAATTCTAAAAGTGTGGATTAAATGAATAGAAGTTAATACATTCGTTTTCATTTATGTTTACCTCTAAATCACACTTGAAGTTTTTATTCTATTTTGGTAACAAAATATTGTGGCCCAAAGAAAAGTTTCTGGTTTTTTGTGTGGCAGTCAATGTGTTAAACTACTACACCAGTAGCAGAGCTACTGGTTGTTTAATGAGAAATGCTCATAGGCATTCTCAGTATAAAAAGATCTCCCAGTCCATGGAGAATATAGCTGTCCTAGCATAAATGCCTGTTTTCTTCTGAGTAAAAACAGGAGCTTGTGTTAATTTTAAGTGACTTTCCTAACACAAACTACAAGATTCTAACATGATCAGCCTACTCCGATTTTGTGATTTGTTTTTGGAATCACAATTTTGGAATTGGTGATTTGTTTAAAAAAAAAAAGTGTTCTGCTTCATTGACTAAATCCATTCCATTCAGCAGTTGATGTAGTGGCATGTAGATGTAGGGAATAATGGATAGATGATTGCATAAAAGGATGAAAAAGAAAACACATCCTACCTTCAAGCGTCTGCCAGGGAGGTAGATAAGGTACCAAATGGAAAAATAATACCTGGTCTTAGGATACTTGAAGATGACAAGTAATTATATTTCTGCTGAACAGATTTTATGGAAAGAACTCTTCTTATGTCCATGGGGATTGGATTCAAATGGAAGCCGCTGATGCAGTCTACGGACAGAAAGTAAGCATACCATGCTTTATTTCCACTGTTAAGCTGGTAGAAAAAACCATAAAATCAAGGTGGATACATGTTTCATAGATGGTTGATATTTGTTCAGATTTCTCAACTTCTTAGAAGTTTGGGCTAGTATTTAATTACTATTTGGTTAATATATTTGAAATACTTATATAATGTTACATTTGTTCATTTGTATGATATATTCTGAAGTTTTGTGTGTTAAAATAATTGGCATTAGCATGGGGATTATCTTTTTAAACTTTAAAAAGTATAGAAGACTGAAACAGGATCTGCACCTCTCACCACTCATAAAAATTAATTCACGATGGATAAGAGACTTAAAACTAAGGCTGAAACTGTAAGAGTTCTAGAAGAAATGTTGGAAAACTCTTAGGGACATCTGCCTAGGCAAATATTTATGAAGAAGATCCCAAAGGCAATCACAAACAAGAAAAATAAATAAATGGGAGCTGATCAAATTAAAAGGCTTCTTTACAGCCAGGGAAACAGACATTACAGTGAATAGACAACCTACATAATAGAGGAAAATATTGAATGCTGTGTGTCTGCTAAAGGGCTGAACCAGAATAGATTAACCAGAATAGATAACCAAAGAACTCAAGCAAATCAGCAAGTAAAAAAAAACAGCCCATTAAAAAATAAAAGGGGCAAAGACATGAACAAACATTCAAAAGAGATAGACAAATGGTCAAGAAACATGAAAAAGGCTCAATGTCTCTAATCCTCAGGAAGTGCAAATCAAAACAACAATGAGATATCATCTAATTCCAGTGAGAATGGCTTCTATCAAAAAACCCCAAACAATATGCTGGCGTGGATGCAGAGAGATAGGAATACTTACAGACTATTGGTGGGACTGCAAACTACTAGTACAACCTCTGTGGCAAACAGTATGGAGATAACTCAAAGAACTAAAAGTAGTACCATTTGATCTAGCAATCCCACTACCAGATATTTACCCAGAGGAAAAAAAGGATATTTATAAAAATGTCACCTGCACCTGAATGTTTATAGCAGCACAATTCACAATTGCAAAAATGTGGAAACAACCCAAGTGCCATCAATACATGAGTGAATTAATAAAGGTTGGTGTATATATACCTGGAGTTCTGCTCAGCCATAAAAAATTGGTGAACTAATACCTGTTGATTAACCTAGATGGAACTGGACATCATTCTTCTAAGCGAAGTACCACAAGAATGGAAAACAAACACATATACTCACTATTAAATTGGACCTAATTGAAACACTTATGTGCACATATGGAAAAAAACTCATCGGAAATCAACAAGTGGGAGGAATGAGGAGATGAGTAAATTCACACCTAACGGGTACAGTGCACACTATCTGGGTTGATAGGCACACATAATTTTGACTCTAAGTGTACAAAAGCAATTTATGTAACCAAAACATTTGTACCCCCCTAATACTCTAAAATAAATTTAAAAAACATAGTAATAAAAATGGCAACAGTGTGCTGAAAGTTTAGGCACATACTTTAACTGCATTGCTTCTTGTTTGAGATATAATAAACTATACTTTTGATTTAAAAAAGTGTGTTAATTTAGGATAGTTATCTTAAGAGACTCTAGTGTGGCTGCTGGGAATAGAGTAGAAAGACAAAATAGAATCTGTGTATTTTGTAATTTAAACATGCACATTGTCTTCACCTATTCTGTGCTAGAAGGTTTAAGGTGGAGATGTGTAAATTTTAGGCATTAACTCTTGCCTTGGTTTCTTAGGAAATCCATAGGAAAGTGATGTCACAAAACTTCACCAACTGCCACACCAAGATTCGCCATGTTGATGCTCATGCCACTCTGAATGATGGTGTGGTGGTCCAGGTGATGGGGCTTCTCTCTAATAACAACCAGGCTTTGAGGAGATTCATGCAGACGTTTGTCCTTGCTCCTGAGGTATGTGTAGGAATGATTTGTTCTATAGTGTCAGATGTATATAAAAAAGAGACAATGAAAGGTAATGCTGCATATCTTAAAACTTTTTTTGAAATTTTAAACTTCTAGAAAAGTTGCAAGAATAGTACAATAACTTACCCCTCACTTACAGCTACTGTCAACACTTGTCCCTAATTCTTTATTTACCTATCATTTTTTTTTTTGTTTGTTTTGTTTTAGACCATTTGAAAATAAGCTGGAGAAATCATATCCAGTCATCCTCAAATACTTCAGTAGGCATTTATAGTACTTTTTTCTCCTGGTCCCAAGATTCAGTCCACAGTTAGACATTGCATTTAACTATCATGTCTCTCTAGTCTCCTTTAATCTACAGTAGTCCTTAATCTTTCATTTTTCATGGCATTGACATTTTTGAAGAGCATAGTCAAGTTACTATGTAAAATGTTTCATACATAAGTATCTTTCAGTGCCTTACATTACATTAGAGATGCATGTGATGTCATTTAGACCTATTATTAGTGATGTTAACTTTGATTATTTAGTTGAAGTGATGTTCATGAAGTTTTCTTATGTAAAGTTAAATTTTTTTCTTTTTTTGATTTTTAAGTAAATTATGGGAGATTCTTTGAGACTGTGCAGATATCCTGTTCTTCATCAAAGTTTTATGCATTAGTTTAGTATTCATTGTTGATTCTTGGCTGGAACCAACTGCTACTTTGGTAGCAAATGGAGATTGTTTAATCCCATCACTATACTTAATTGGCATTCTAGTATAAAGAAATTTCTCTCCTATCTTATCTTTCATAGAGTCTTAGTACATCTAATTGATTATAATCCATTACTAACTGTATAACATGTGAAATGTCTCACATCTGGTCAGTGTAAACAACCTCAAGCTGCCTTTTGTGTCCTTTCTTTTTTTTGAACACTTTGTAACTGTGTCCCAGGCTCATTTATAGTCCTTGCTCGCCTCAATTCTGGAATCAGCTGTTCCTTCAAGGAGGCCTGGTTCTTTTTAGTTATTCTTATCATGGAAGGGCCACAAGTTTATGTTGAATAACTGCATTTGTGCCTTTTTCCAGATGGGTCCAGACTAAACAAAGTCAGAAAGCCTATCTACTTAAGCATAAAAAAGTGGGTCAATAAGAACTTGCTGAATAATTGTTTTTTTTGTCATTAATCTCAAAATAGTTTTTAGGATAGTGAACCTAAAACCCTTATTTTTTATTATTTGAATATAAAATAGCTTTCTATTTGAAAAACTATATGAAGTCATTATAGTAATGATTCCTAGAAGAAGGCTTAAAGTGTAAAGATTCACTCAACTCCTGTAGTCCCAGCGACTGAGGCAAGAGGATTACTTGAGGCCAGGAGTTCCAACACCAGCCTGGGCAAAATATTGGGCCCCTACCCTCTGTAGTCCAGGGATGAAAAAATACAGCCGAGCATGGTGGCATATGCCTATAGTCCTGGCTACTCAGGAGGCTGAAGCAGGAATTGCCTGAGCCCAGAATTTGGGGGTACAGTGAGCAATGATTATGACGCTGTACTTGAGCCTCAGCGACAATGAAACCCCATCTCCTTAAAAAAAGGAAAAAAAAAAAAAAAAGGCTTGGTAGACTTACAGATATGCAAAGATGCAAAGAATCACCTGGAGTATGATTGTCAATTTTAGGTTTAATTATAGTTCCTCTTTTTTCTTTAAACTGTCTCATTTATTACAGAACGAATTGAGGTATATGTTGATATCACTCTTTTTATTGATAAGAAACAGCCTTAGAAATTGAAAATGTAAATGACATAGTTGGATTTGGACTATTATGTCTTATACCTAGTGTGAGCAGACTTTTTCAGCTACACTATTTCTTGAGTACTTGTGTTAACATTCTTTGATACATATTTAGGGAATTTTAAATATCTGCTGAAGTTAGGAGTATGATTGTTTCCTGATGATTTGAGGTGTGGGCTGTGGCATTTTATATACTTATGGTGAGGATAAATATTTTCAGGAAACAAAATATATGTGAGTATAGTCTTTTTACAGCCATGTTGTAGAGCAGGGCTTTTCAGTTTTGGCACTGTTGATGTTTTGGGTCCACCTATTTTTTGTAGTTGGGGCTTGTCTTTTCATTGTGGGATATTAAGTAGCATCTCTACCCTCAGTTGTTGTCATTGCACTCCCCTGTTGTGAAAACTGAAATGTCTCCAGTCTTTGCCAAAAGTTTCTTGGTGGCAGACTTGCCCACAGTTGAGAACCACTGGTGTAATTTGGCTTTTTAAAACTGTTGAGTAAATGAAAACTTTTTGTTGGCATTGCAGGGCTCTGTTGCAAATAAGTTCTATGTTCACAATGATATCTTCAGATACCAAGATGAGGTCTTTGGTGGCTTTGTCACTGAGCCTCAGGAGGGTAAGTTGTGAAACCATGTAAGTTGTCTAAATTTTCCCGATGGCATCAGACTGACCTTAAGAGACTATGGGTTTCTTTAATGTTGTATTATAATCTGTGTTCATTAATAACCATTAATAATAATTCCCAAGACATGAAGGGTCTGGGGTTTTACCCTACTTGAAGTTAAACAGGTTAGCTTACTTCATGGTTGTTTATAAAAGACATAAACTTTTAGGTCGGAAGGGGACATATTATTAAAGCAACAGTAGTAGCATTTTTGCTACAGTTACTACAGGATACCATGAAGAAGGACAGATGGTTACTTGTATTGCGATAGATTGTGTCAAAAATGTGGAACCCACTGAGTTTGGGGAACCCAAATCTTTTATTATATAATGGGCACGAAACATGCCTACCCTTTGCTCTGGAGGAAGACGTTCTTTTCCAAAGGTGTTTGTTATACAGATGTTTTTGAAAGATAATCTGGAGAGAAGGGTAGATGTGAAAGATGTACAGAAACACAGAGACCTATGGAGAATTTTCTTCAAACTGGTACTATTTGAGTGTTTTCTGTGTGGCTGAGACTGTTCTTAGCACTTTATATGCACTGTGTAATACGCAGCCTTATACATGGTACTTTAGGTAATATTGTCCCCTATTTAATAGATTATAGCACTGCAGTGCAATAATTTGCCCAAAGTAATACAGCTAGTAAAGTGGGAGAGCCTGCATTAGATTACTGCCTAATGTAAAGTAATTTGCCTGGTGTCATGTAGCTAGCAAGGTGTAGAAGCCTGCATTAGGTTACTGGAACTATGACCCTCAGACACCATGTTCTTAACCAAAACACTAGATAGATAGCCTTAGTTTTATCCTTAAAGTCTATGCCATGATTTTATGAAACTGCTTTGCTTCCTTTACTTTTATTTATATGTTTTCTTATTGTTCTTTTGATTATAGCAAACCGTGTAAAAGTGAATATATTTGTGAATTCAGTAAGCACAAATAACTTTAAATAGCTTTTTCTTACTTAGAATCTGAGGAAGAAGTAGAGGAACCTGAAGAAAGACAGCAGACGCCTGAGGTGGTTCCTGATGATTCTGGAACTTTCTATGATCAGACTGTTGTCAGGTAAGGAAAATTTTGTTCCTATAACCAGGGCTGCATAAGAATTTACATTGTATACGCTTTCTCTTTGTGGGTGGGCAGTCATATGTTCTCAGAATTATTTCAGAAAATAATTAATTTCTCAGAAGAAATGTTTTGGCAACTTTGAGCAAAAATATATAATTTAATAATAGATTGTACTATGAGGACTATTTAAATAGTATCTATCAGTTGCATTCTGGTTTAGTTTCTTCTTGGTGCTAAGTGAAAAAATTCTGGATTTTCTATGAAGAGTTTAATATATCAAGGTATCACATTAAGTGCTTTGGGAGAATATAAAGTGGATAAGAACTTTCACCTAGTGAGACATCAGGCATAACGAATGTCTTTTTTCCCCCCAGAATTTCTATGTGTTTTTATTATATGTGTGGGTATGGTAAAAACCACATACTATAAAATTTACCTATCTTAACCATTTTTAAGTCTACAGTAAGTACTATATACATATGGTTGTACAACAGATCTCTAGAACTTTTCATTTTGCAAAACAAACTAGCCATCGAACAGCAGCTTCCTTTTCCTTGCTTCCTAGCCTGTTAAGAGAGTTTTTATGTGTGCTAAGTGAATTATAATAGTTGTGGGATTCTAGCTGAAGGAGAAATAATGTTCATTTTGATCCTTATCAGAATTTATCAAGTAGATTCTAATTAAGTCATTGAGTATTTTTTTAATTGCTTTTTTAAATGCAGATATATAATTCTTAGATCTTTTCTTGGAGAGAGGGAGCTACTTTTATGTTCAGGTCTCTGGTTAATAAATGGTTGGGAATTTCTTGTAAAATGAATGGAGACAAAATGATATTTCTCAAATTTTCCTATGAAAGTAATGACATGGAAGAACATTTAGAGGAGCCTGTTGCTGAACCAGAGCCTGATCCTGAACCAGAACCAGAGCAAGAACCTGTATCTGAAATCCAAGAGGAAAAGTCTGAGCCAGTATTAGAAGAAACTCCTCCTGAGGATACTCAGAAGAGTTCTTCTCCAGCACCTGCAGACATAGCTCAAACAGTACAGGAAGACCTGAGGGTATGGAACATGCTTAATTTTTATTCTGTTTCTCGTTTATTTTTTCAAATCTCTTCTTTATTATTGTTTGGTTGACTTGTTAGATGCATTTTCATATTTTGGTGGTTCAGGGAAATTTCTTACATATTGAGCCATGCTTCAAATAAGAGGTATGATGCCTATTGCTTTATTTATTTATTTTTGAGACAGAGTCTCGCTTTGTTGCCCAGGCTAGAGCGAGTGCCATGGCGTCAGCCTAGCTTACAGCAACCTCAAACTCCTGGGCTCAAACAATCCTGCTGCTTCAGCCTCCCGAGTAGCTGGGACTATAGGCATGCGCCACCATGCCTGGCTAATTTTTTCTATATATATTAGTTGGCCAATTAATTTCTTTCTATTTATAGTAGGGAGGGGGTCTCGCTTTTGCTCAGGCTGGTTTTGAGCTCCTGACCTCGAGCAATCTGCCTGCCTCGGCCTCCCAGAGTGCTAGGATTATAGGCATGAGCCACCACACCCAGCCTGCCTATTGCTTTATAACATCAAAAATAACTACCCTACCCCCTTAAGGTATCTTGAATACCTTTTAGGCCAGAAATTTCAGGTGCCATTGTGTCAGCATATTGGCAACCCCTCGTCTTTTTAATATTTCATCTTTTACATTATAAAATATTATAAGCTTGTTATTTAACAGCAATACAAATGTATAACATCATTTTTAGAAAAGTAACATGGCAGAATAGACTTTTTCCATGAAATTTAATTAAGGATAGCTATAAATATCTGTAAGTAAAAAGTAGAAATAAACTGCTGAAATAACTTGTTGAAATACTTGATTTTAAATCTTGAAGTTTTTCAGTTATTCACCCATCAGGGTGTGATATGTTAACTGAACTCACAGAATCTTTACATTTGATGCTCTGGAAAGGATTTTTTTTTTTTTTTTTGGTGCTGTATTTATAGGGTCAGGGGTTTTTAAAATGTCATTTGTTCAATTAATTCAAGTACCTGCTCTGTACTAGGCACTGTGCTAGGTGTGAGTATTATATTGGTAAAACAGATAGGGCTCTTGCCCTCTGGCAGCAAATAGGTCAGTAGGAAAGAGAAATACTGAAATGACTTTAGCTTGCAGGTAGCAAAGTAGATTGACTGGATTGAGAATGGATGACCAGTTAGGTGGCTATTCTAGTAGTTATGGTGAGAGATAATAATGGCCTGGGTTAGAGTTGCGGCAGTGGAGAAGAAGAAGAGATAATTAGGTAGAATAACAGGATCTGACAATTCTTTGGGTTTTTTTTTTTTTTTGAGATGAGGTTTGGTCTGTCACTGAGGCTGGAGTACAGTGGCACAATCATAGCTCACTGTAAACAACAAGAACACAATACATAGATAACATAAACCTGCCTTAGTCTCTTGAGTTATGCTACCTGGCTAAGTTTTTTTGAGAGATGGCTTCTTGCTCTTTTGCCCAGGCTGGTCTTAAACTCCTGGCCTTAAGCCATCCTTCTGCCTCAGCCTCCCAAGTCACTGGGATTATAGGTATGCCTGGCTAGGTTCTTTCGTGATTTTTTTATTTATTTTTATTTTTTTTGATTATTTATTTATTTATGAATGAATGAATGAGACAGAGTCTTACTCTGTTCCTCTGGCTAGAGTACCATGGTGTCAGCCTAGCTCACAGCAACCACAAACTCCTGGGCTCAAGCGATCCTCCTGCCTCAGCCTCCCGAGTAGCTGGGACTAGAGGCATGTGCCACCATGCCCGGCTAATTTTTTCTATATATTTTTAGTTGTCCAGCTAATTTCTTTCTATTTTTAGTAGAGACGGGGGTCTCGCTCTTGCTCAGGCTGGTCTTGAACTCCTGACCTCGAGCAATCTGCCTGCCTTGGCCTCCCAGAGTGCTAGGATTACACTAGCACTGAGCCACCGTACCCGGCCCTTTTGTGATTTTTTTTTTTAAATGGATTGGAAAGGTGTTCATGATGATTCTAAAACTGGTGTAATAGGGTCAGTGTTTGTTCCACAGATGGGGCAAATCATGGGAGGAAGAGCTGAGCCTGTTTTGAAGTAGAGAAATTTCTTTGATTTACAAACTTGAAATTGACTGAAAATAGCTTTCTTGACCCTAAACCTCTCGTATTTGGCTGATACTTGATTATCAGTCCTAAGGAATTTTAGTACTAGATTTTGAGTAGGTGAAAGAAAGGGCTCTCAAAGATACTTATACTCCATCCTGCCTATGAGAATGTGATGTGTATATTATGCATAAGAAATCAAGAGTTAGTAGCTTTTATACTGTTTTGATACATGGTAGATGGTATAATCATGTAATGGTGATGGTATTCCCTCAGACTTTTTCTTGGGCATCTGTGACCAGTAAGAACCTTCCACCCAGTGGAGCTGTTCCAGTTACTGGGATACCACCTCATGTTGTTAAAGTACCAGCTTCACAGGTAAGGTTCTGATAAAACATGAACATTAGGCAAATTTACTTGCATTTTGGTAATGTGATTCAACAGAGGCTTAGAGAATGTAGAAACTGATATATAGGGCAGAGGAGAAAGGTGTAGTTTTAAATGACTTTTTTTTGATAAGGAAGTTGTCATTTTCTGATTTAAACCTTATTAGCTAATACACTTCATAAGAAAGTAAGCCTACAAGAGTTAACTTATAAATCTTTCAGCCTCGTCCGGAGTCTAAGCCTGAATCTCAGATTCCACCACAGAGACCTCAGAGGGATCAAAGAGTTCGAGAACAACGAATAAATATTCCTCCCCAGAGAGGCCCCAGACCAAGTAAGATCTCAGAAGGGTGATTTCTCTAGTTTGGGAGATTCTGAGATGAGAGCTTATTTAGGGGAGGTGGTTTATATTTGTGTATTTATGTTTACAAAAATAATTAATGATAGAATCACCTTTGTGTAAGGTAGAGGGAAAACCATTGAATGGGAACAGTCACTAGAAGAAGGCTTAAAATGTAAAGATTCACTCAGGCTTAAAGTGAAAGGTGTAAAGTGTAAAGATTCACTCACTCCTGTAGTGCCTTCCCTCCAGATTATCTTTCAAAAACAAAGATATAACAAGTGTTATATCTGTATATAAAAACAGCTTTGGAAAAGAATGTCTTCCTCCAGAGCAAAGGGTGGGCATATTTAGTGCCCATTATATAATAAAAGATTTGGGTTCCCCAAACTAAGTGGGTTCCACATTTATGACACAATCTATAGCAATACAAGTAACCATCTGTCCTTCATGGTATCCTGTAGTAACTGTAGCAAAAATGCCACTACTGTTGCTTTAATAATATGTCCACTTCTGACCTAGAAGTCTTATGTCTTCTATAAACAACCATGAAGTAAGCTAACCTGTTTAACTTCAAGTCACTGAGAGTTGTCATCTTTATCTTGTATTTCACTGCTGTTTTTGTCTCCTCTAAGTTCGTGAGGCTGGTGAGCAAGGTGATGTCGAACCCCGAAGAATTGTGAGACACCCTGACAGTCACCAACTCTTCATTGGCAACCTGCCTCATGAGGTGGACAAATCAGAACTTAAAGATTTCTTTCAAAGTAGGTGATTGAGTTTTGAACACTAAATTCATCTAGTGCAGTGCTAGCAATAGAACGTGAGCCACATATGTAATCACATATGTAATTTTCTAGTAGTTATGTTATAAAAGAGTAAGAAGGAATTGGAGAATTGAATAACATTTTGTTTAACCCAGTGCATCTAAAACATTATGATTTCCACATATAAGAATATTATAAGAGATTTTACATTTTTTTTTTACTAAGTCTTTGAAATCCAGTGAGTATTTTACACTTTTGGCACATCTTAATTCAGACTAGCTACATTTCAAGGGCTTAGTAGTCATGTGTAAAGTTTATTTATTAATGGTGTACATTTAATGTTTCAAGGAAATGTTCTTAGTAGTTATCTGAGAATATCTGTTTCACTTGCAGGCTATGGGAATGTGGTGGAGCTACGCATTAACAGCGGTGGGAAGTTACCCAATTTTGGTTTTGTTGTGTTTGATGATTCTGAGCCTGTTCAGAAGGTCCTTAGCAACAGGGTAAGCAGTTTTTAATTTTTTTAAAAATAGGTGTATCTTGGTTCTTTAGAATGTATTCATCCTTACAGTTGTGTCTCCATCATGTAACATGACATTTATTCGAACATATTTGTGTAATTTATTCCATCATATTCAACCATTATTAAAGACTTAAAGACCTGCCAGGGGTCTAGAACAACAAACTTTGTTTTTGAATAAGTGAGTGATGAAAATGTAATAACTAATAGTTATCAGTGCATTGAAGTTTATGTAGATTTCTTTCCTTTGTGCTGGCTTCTGGTGTAAAGGAGATGAAATGCAATGTGAGAGCCAGTTTGCCCAGGGTAGTCTTGGTATATAGCTGTTGTCTGTGTATAACTATTAAGAGCTGCTCCTTTAATTCTGTAAATTGTCTGGGTTTGGAAGATAAATTACATAGTTACCCTACTTAGAACTCTATTTATTTATAATATTCTTACTGTATACATTGTAACAGATTTGTAGAATGAAACTCTTAATGTGAAGCTCTTAAAAAAACCCTTTGCTTCCTCTATACCTTTCATTAGCCAAAAACTATGTTGTGTAGTAGTAGAGAAGAGCAAGGGTATAAATAATATCAGTTTACTGAGATGGGTATGGGATCTTTAAAAGCTATGCATTTTTTTTGAGGTGAAATTCACATAACATAAAATTAGCCATTTTAAATTGTATAGTTTAATTGGCAGGTAGAACACATTGTTGGGCAGCCATCATCTCTGTCTAATTCCAGAACATTTTCATTAAAAGTAAGCCCTTTACCCATTAAACAGTCGCTTCTCATACGCTCTCTCCCCAGCCTCTGACAACCGCTTTCTGTCTTTGTAAATTAAAACTACACATTTTGAACCATATAATAGAAATGTTGTAGATCAACGATGTTCTCCAGCCTTACAATCTGCAAATGTGTGTTATCTTTACAAATTGTTTGAACATTTTTTTGTGAAGCATCCCAGAAAACTGAGAAATGAGAACGGTGGTCTATGTCACTAAGACCAGAATTCTGAACCCAGAAATGTTAGTATGCTTTGTAGATAAATCCATCATTCAGTATGTATTAGGTCTTAGTGGCCACTGTTGATTTCACTGTATTGATAGAAGCTATACTCTTTCTGGTAATTTTTTGTGAGAACAGAAATAGCTGATTGCCATGTAGACTGATTACCATGTCATAGTGTAGCATAGTGGGTCAGAGCTTCTACTTCGTAGTAGTCAGATGGCTTTAGTTTGTATTCCTCCTCCATTACTCATTGTGATGACTTGTGGAGCAAGTTCTTTAACCTCCCTGGCCCTTAGTTTGTTAGTCTCTAAAGTAGTTGTCATAACAACCCTCAGGGTTGTTGCAAAGATTAAATGCACTAATAAATTTGATCAGAACACTTCCCTGACTCATGGTAAGTACTGTTAGACATTAATTTTTAAAAAAATTTAGAAAATTACATTGCCAGTAAAGAACACAAATTGAATTGTTGGAATGTTTGGTAACCCTTATATATATTACTGTTTATGTAATTTTATGTGAAAATTAGATTTCCTTTAATAAGTACAATGAGAGTTAACTTGTGCTGCTCTGCTGTTTAAATTGTCCTTTTTTTGTGTGAGCTGGCCTCCACACCTAACCACTTTTCTGTATATTTGTTAATGGGCAATTATGTGTTCTGAGTTCCAAACAAAAATAGAACTATGAGTACTGAGCTGATTTGTGATCTGCTGTTTCTTTATGATAGCTTTGTTTTATCATTAATAGTCATAGCATTCACTTAAGTCTGGTCACCTTGATTCTTACAGCCCATCATGTTCAGAGGTGAGGTCCGTCTGAATGTGGAGGAGAAGAAGACTCGAGCTGCCAGGGAAGGGGACCGTCGAGATAACCGCCTGCGGGGACCTGGAGGCCCTCGAGGTGGGCTGGGTGGTGGAATGAGAGGCCCTCCCCGCGGAGGCATGGTGCAGAAACCAGGATTTGGAGTGGGAAGGGGGATCGCTCCAAGGCAGTGAATTGCTCCTCACTGATCTTCACACAGCAGTTCACACCCTAACTCCTGCAGAATGGTGAATTTCTTCAGCCAGCCTTTGGTATCTTGGAGTATGATCCTAGTCTGTTATAAACTGCTTAAGTTTGTACAATTTTACTTTCATTTTGTGTTAATGGTGTGTGCTCCCTCCCCATCTCTTCCCTCTCCTGACCTTTAGTCCTTCACTTCCAATTTTGTGGAATGATATTTTAGGAGTAACGGATTTTTAAAGAAGAAGAAAAGACTGAATTTCCTTGCTTACTTTGCATATACAGACTGGATTTTTTTTTTAACAGCCATTTCCCCAAAGGAATGTCTCGCTCATTACTGACATTTGGTATGTTTCATTCATTGGAATATTTCTTACTTATTTTCTACGTGTTTCAAAAGCCTGTGAGAAATACAGGATTTGATAAACATTTTGAAGGCGGGAAAAGCCCAAATTGTTTCTTCTTTGAGAGTCATGACTACCTTCTGGTGTGGAGAAATTGCCATTGGAAAATTTGACAATTTTGATGCTCACTGGTATGGTTAAAAACTGAATAAAAGGTGTTAATAGAGTTTTTTCTTTTGATATTTGATCACAAAACAATTCTAAAACCTGTTTTTACCATTAAAATTTAAATTGTGAGATAGGTTTTAAATGTCTAGACTGCAACTGATATGCTTTTCTTGAACTGTTAGATTTTTTTGAAGTAGAGTTTTTTCATGTTTAATTTGTATTTGTAAAAAAACAAAAAACAAAAAAATCCCCCAAATGCAAATAACAAAAAAACAGAGCAAAACTGTTGTGCCTTCTATTTATCTTTGATTCCAGTCTTGACAATTGTTTAAAGAAAAATAATAAAAACAATCTAGATTTGTGTTATCAGATTCAGAGTATGTGGGGAATTGTAGAATCCCTCTTTCATCACCTTGTATGTCTTCTGTTAATATTTGTTATGCCTTATTCTAAGATTGAGTCTCAAACTGGAATGCCTTTGAAGACAGATGCTTCTATAGAGGTCCTTTGACCTAAATAGTTCAACATTGTATTTTTATTTTGGTATCTAAGCAGATTCCTAATCATAGCCCATAAGAAGGAATGTGACATTAATATTGGACTTTGCTGATGTGCTCAAGTGTCTGCAATTTTCTTTCTTTAAATCATAGCCACATGGTAAATTTTCTATTTTGTTATGGTTCTCTTTTTTTTTCTGATGGGCATGCAGTGGGTGCTTCTTGGAAATGGCCAATTTTTATTAAAATATTTCTGGAAGAAAATTTAATCTGGTAATATAGACTAATACTCGTTTTGCAATAGTATGTTATTTTTTGAGTGCTGTGTGTGAGGTGGGTGACGGTTTTGTTTACACGTGTGAAGCAAGCCTTTATGTGATACCTTGTCAATGCTAATCGAAGGTCAACCAGTTTGTCACATTTAACTTATTTATTTTCTTCTTAACAGTATCCATCTTTCAGACTGTATAGGAATAGGAATGTTGTGTTTGTTTTGCCTTTACTGAGAAAAACTCTAGGTTGCTGTGGAAAGGGGTTAGTTAAGACTAAAATGAAGTCTGATGTTACCAGTTTGGTCCCAGTACCTCAAATATTTGAAAATTGGCAACATTGCCTTCACATAAAGAAACTAGTCACATAGCTGTTTTTTGGGTCAGTTTAAGTAACTGTTGGGTAACTACTTCATTTGGCTCAGGCCAGTGATAATTGGAAGGAATTCAATTATAGCTTATATTAAGCTTGTGGTGGGTGCAAAAAAATAAAAGTTAGGCTGAGTTACTTTAGGGGGAAAAAGAATTTAAGTTGCAGTGACTTTAAGCACATAAATTACGGATAGCCTAGGCATTATTTTGCAAATCCTAAATCATACATTTCAAAATAGGAGTTCTTACTCAGAGGCTTAAGCGCACTAACTAGATACAGTGATCCTCAACTTGGCATGATTATCACATCCTTAGAAGGCATTTGGAAATGCCTTTTGGAGGCATTGCAGGGGGAGTTTTGGAGGGGTTGCAGGGGGAGACTCCGCATCTGGCATTTATTGGGTGAGGGCCAAGGATACCAAATGTTCTGAAAAAGTGAAGCAACCACATTGAGAACACCACTACTCTGTATTCATAGGGATGGGTAGAGCTGTGGGATTAAGAGAAGCAGAATGAAGACTCATTCTTTTGAAATTCAGCCTCACATAAATAAAAAATTAGGAAATAGGAATCTGTTTTGGAAATTAGAGTAACATCTATTCTAATTTTTCTTTCTATTGTTGTACAATGTCTGTGAGTGTATGTGTGCATGCGTGTTTAAATGTGGAGAGGGAGTAGCAATATATGCTAGATGCTGCTTGTAACTTGTTGCAGAGAATTACTGCATAGTCTTAGAAAACAAAAGCCTTCCCCATTAATTTCAAGTACTTAGAAATGGGATGGTTGTGGGGTTTTGAATAGCATTGGATCTGAGAAGTAGGATTTAGCATCATGGTCAACACTGTTCAGGATCTCAAAATAATTGTTTACATTATTGCATATAGAATAAACATGAGAGCTTAGAGATGCATACATTCTCACAGCTGGGAAGTCAAAATAAGTTAGGGCAAGGTTTTCTACAGGCTCATTATATTCAGCATTTTCATATTCTAAGTACAGTTTTTATCTGTAGAATGGCCCAATGTAAAGTGTGCTACTGAGGTTAAAACCCTTGACCCAAGAGTATTTTAGCTGGATAAGATTTTGGTTCAGAGGGTCTCAGTCTTTTAAGATTTGTTGAAAATAAATAGATATTGGGCCTTAACGAAAGTATCTTTTATTTCATCATGAGGTTTGGCTTGTGTATTTAGTGTTCTCAACTTTCTCAGCTATTATTGGGTAGCAGTGAAATGGATAATCCCAAAATAATTTGATTTTAGATGAATAGGCTACTATTACAGCATTAGTTGAATTGTACTTTAGTTTTAGGTTAGGAAATTTAATTTTCTTATCTACCCCAAGGAGGATAACCCCAAAATAAGATGTGAGGAAGCAACAGCATCAGAGTAATTATATGACTAGGCCTCCAGGTCATCCATGTGGCAAAGAGCAGATTGGCCTTCCAAACTGCTGCTTATTCTCTAGAACTACACTGCTTACCTGTTTATATGTCAGTGGCATATACCATAATGTAATGACTACTGTAGAGAGACCTAAGTCTGAAAGGCATTCAGATCAAGGTTAGTGTCACTGTTCATAGTATCCTTTAGGGCAAATAAGATAATTAAACTTGGATTTTGTAGGTGTCCTTTTGCTTTACAGATTCTGTGTGGTAACACAATAATAGTGATTTGTTCTTAAATTGTTTTTCTTACCTGGTTTGATAGTACATTTAGTACAAACCTGAAATCTGGATGTAGATAACAATATTTTTATTATAGCATTATCCAGGTGAGTTTATAGAAGTTGTGTTTTTGTGCTTATAACTGCCACTCCTGATACTTTTCCTTCATCCCCTTATTTGAAAACCCTTGAAGAATTTAAATGATTTAGTGGAAAATGTGGCACTTTATAGAAAGCAATTTGTTAGAATCTATATGGAAATCTTTCTGTGAAGTTTAGATTTGTAGACCACTGTTTATGCTGAGTGAACTATTTCTTTTAAGTAAATGATTGCATTTGTCAAATCTACTGATCTAAAGATGTCTTTTATATCATAATTTTGTTTTTGTGTTACTTAATACAATCTCTGCAGAATTCCATACTGATGAGATAATTACTGACCTTGTAAAGGAAATAACATCAATATTTATTTGAATATAAGGTTTTAGCTAACTATGTAATGTACCAAAAGTGCGCAGTGCCACAGTTAGAGAGCCTTCCACATATTAGAAACTTAGCAATGTCTTGTGCGGAATGAGGGGTTGGGTTAAAGTTGCTGATGAAGCAATAGCCATGTGGCACTAGATAATAACTAAGTTAAATAAGAATTTCTGGTTTTAAGGTAGTAATGCCTTTCTGGGTTCATGTTTGTTTACTGTGAAGTTCAGGTTCTGGGGACCATAGGTGGGCATGTCAACTCTTAATATACTATAGTAAAGGAGAAATTGTGGCACATGTACAACTTAATCTGTTTACAGTCTTATTAGTGGATATGTATCTAGTTCAGGATAATACTGAAATTAGACTTCCTAGCTCATGCTTTCATATAATAGTCTCAAATCAGGGCCTGAAGGAGTAAGAAATTTAGAGGTCATCTAAAACCCTTAACTAGTTTTGGTTTTGATTATGATCATATATTGGCTTAGAATCCAGGTGGTTCAGTTTTTGTATATATGTCTTGTTTTGAAAGCTTAGGACAGTCTCTCATTCTTTCCAGTTTCCACTTGATGAACCTAGTAGCATTTTTTTAGTTCTCTGTAAGAGGAAAATAATATTGGAATTGGTTCCACTGCTACTTTCATAAACCATGTGACTTGGTCAATTACAGGAAACCATACGTGTTTAGTACTTTGGAATGTGGCCAGTATCCCGGCTTCATAAGGGATACAGTGTCTTAGATGTTTTTTAAAAAAGTAAATTAGGATATTTACCAAAAATTAACTTGATTTACTTAAACAAGTTCTTATTTTTCAGGAGTCCACTTACGGAAAGTTTGCCTATATTTTTGGTGGCAATTAGAGGGAAGATCCTATTCTATTTAACCTGAATAGAAACGATTTCAACTATCCCTGAAGTTAAAACCACATCTGTTACTAATTCTCTCCAAGCTTTGATGTCACCTGTTCAACTTTGAACTTTTAAAATTTTGTTACAAAGATTGTATATACACTGATTTAGCCCTTTTAAGTGAAGACATTGTATCTAGAAGCTTGTATAAGAAAGTAGGGGAGAAGAGGACTTCCTTATTTTTAACATTTGGTGCACACTTAAGTAGCTTGTAGAACACAGTTTAAAAATAAATTTATATAGGTAGAAGTTAGAATTTTTTTTCAACCTTCTGGCTAGTTTGCATAGATGTTAGATTTTGAAGAAAGATGGAAGTATACAGGTAGACTTTAGCTAATAGAATAGGACTCATTTGTGATAAATGTGGAGAATTATATTTTTGAGTGAGAAACATTGGAATATTTTCTTAAAAGTTTTCTTCCTGGTCTCATTATTGTCACAGAGAACAGGAGAAAGTAGTAGAATATTTTGAATCATAGGATGTTAGGATTTTATTTTTCTGGAAAGAACTAAGAAGTGATTTGTATAACCCTTTCATTTTGTTAAAAATCAGAAAATTGATTGGTACAGAGTTCTGCATCTCCTGTGTAAGTAATATGGAGAACTTTCAGGGATTACCAGTCTAGGTTTACTGTAGGAAGGCCAGAGCTGTTAAAGTTGGTCAGGGTGTGGGGAGAAAAGGGAAGGTACACCCTTTTATATGCTTATTACTCCTTTGATTCTATAGTTCAGTTTTCACACCCTGATTTTCTCTATTTTCTTAGAACTCTTGTAATGCCCAGCTCTACCAGAGCCTGTTTAGGACATTAACTTGTGCTCCCCTCAGGGATGGGTTTACTACTAGCTGTCAGAAAGCTATCGGGTATCCTAATGTGTTAATAGCTGAAACTCAGCTGTAATTATCTCCTGAATACTTAAGCATTTTGCATTCTGTACATTGTGGTGCTTTTTCCACCTTGTATTGTTATCAGTGTAAGCTCCTAGGGGGCAGTGTTTGGTCTTAGGCATGTACTCTGTTTAGTGCCTGGTAGTGCCGTGTATGTATCAGGGTACTGATACTCCTTTTCAGTCATTTCTCCCATTCTTCATGGAAGCGATGGTCCAGCCTTGCCAAACTACGTGTGGTCCCTTGATAAGCCAGGCACTGCCAGTTCCATGGCCTTACGTGCCTTCTCTCTTACCTGAAGATACACACACACACACACACACAGCCACCCCTGCCTAAAGATCTTCTGCCATGTAAGTAATTTTTTCCCCTCAAGATCCAGTTCAAGAGCTATTTTCCCCCCTAAGGAATATTTGCAACAAGAATAGGGATTCCCTTTTTGTGGCTGATTTGTCTAGAATTTGAAGTGAGGAAAAAATTCATTCTCACCTATTTTTACCTTCTCCTGTTTGAGGTGTCTCAACCTTCATTTTTCAAACTGTGTTCCTAGAGCACTTTATACCTTTCTCAAAGTTCATAGCTTACCTACCCTTCAACCTAGAATTAGAATTACATTACCTGCCTTACTACCTAATTAAACTGTAAGCTCCTGGAGGACAAAGAATACCTTCCACCAGAACGTACAGTGACTCATGCTAGAGTCCCTAAATGATACCTGAGTTTAATAACTTCATGTTTATCTCTTTTCATTCTCAAAAGGGAGGCATGCCTAGAGATAGCCTTTAATGCAATAAATTGTGGACACTATAATATTTCAGTGGAGGAAATTGTGGGGGATGGGCATAGGAGGAGGAGGAGGAAGTCACTGGCCATTTTGAGGTACTTCCGTCCCTGGTCTGGGTAATTAGTCATTTCTTTCTGATTGTGCCTCTTATATCTCTCAGGCACTTTGTTTCCATGCAAAAGAGTTTTTATGTGTGGCTTTCATTTCTGTGCACAAACTTGTTCCTTGTTCCTTCATTTTTCTTTCAGTTTGTGACATCCCCCATGCTACAAGTCTGAGTCTTCTGCTTCCCCTTTTCGTTACTCCCCACATCCAGTCTCCAGCTAAGTTCTGTCAGTTCTGCCTCAGCAGTCTTTCCCATCTCTTTCTCCCCTCGCCTGATGCAGTAGCCTCTCAGCTTCACGTTACCTCTTGTTACTCCAGCCTACTTTATACACAACGTTAGAGTCATCCTACAGAGACGTAGCTCCGGCCACGTATCCCATGTATGTGTCCTATCTCCCCCACTAGACTGTAAGCTCCTTATGGGCAGGATCTGTGTCTGAGTCATCTTTGTATCTCCAGTAGCACCAACCAATAAATATTTCTTGAATGAATAAAAGAAATCTTATTTCTCAACATACAGTCTTGTCTAAAGTGAGATGTTTTCCAGGTTACACATAGATTTCCCCCTGGAGTAATTGGAAGACTTCATAAGTTCTCTCATATGAAGTTGGTTAAATAGTAAAAAAATTATGATTTAACCACAGAGAAAATTTCAGAAAACTTTAATTTTCCATTGGAATCAGCATGGATATGTGTATATGGATGGTTCAATAAATATACTTTTATATACATGTATCACAGAAATTTTACATTCCATCATCAAACTGCAGAAATAGATTTTTTTTACAAGCCAAAAAATAACTGCCATAACTTTTATGACTTCATGCAAAAAAGGGGAAGAGTCAAGGGGCAGAGGGGAAATTGGTTGTTCAAGGTTGAGTGTCCAGTAAGAAGTAAAAATGTTACATTAAGGAAGCGATTGCTTAACACGCTGCTTAAGGTGGTAGCCAAACAAATCCTTAACTGCAGCATTAAGGCCATACCAAGTTTATACATATATACAAAGAAGTTTCCATATAAAAGACATACTATAACTTTTGACTGGGAAAGGATGAGGAGCTTTGTGAGTTATTTTGACCCAATTTTCTGGGCCTGTTGATTAAACTGTCCCTATGCTGCTGCTGAGAAATCTTTTCTCCTTTGGCTAGCTGTCAGAGTTGCCATGTGGGCTTGACTTCTGGTCTCTCATGTGAAGGTTTGAATCATCTTGAATTCTTCCATCATGGATGGTAGAGCACTTTGTAGCTTAACTCACACTGCCCGACTAAGCATATTTTTTACATCTCCCAAAAGTATTTGGAATCACAGAACTTGTAGTTGTCTTACCTGTGACAGACTCCACAGCCTTGCAGGCATTGTGACCTGAAGAATTACACAGTGCCCTCGCATTCTTTGGGGTTAACATAACTTATTGGATAATGTACTAATGAACCGAAGTATTAGTGTTCAGGCAACACATCCCCTAGCTGTTGGAAGTTAATATACAACCTTTACCCCTTGTGTGATATATTTGCATTGGCAGCTACCATTTTGGAAAAAAAGGAGATGTAAAATTGCAGTAGAGGAATAACTTGGGGTTGGCTTTTTATGCCTAAATGTCAAACCAGGGAACTTTTTAGGACAAAGGTACATCTTTTGTGCAAACATCAAAATGGGTGAAATGGGGAAAACATGAAGGACAAGTCCTTAGGAGATGACTTCCAGTTAATGCAGAAGTCGTTTGCTTTGGCAAGGTTTGGGTGAGACTCTGAGATTGCACACTCTAGTTCTTTCTGTTGGCAGAAACTGGCCCATCTTAAATTAGTGAATGAATCCTGAGTCAAAAAGGAAAAGTGGAAAGTTACTAAATCTAAGATAAATCGTATATATAAAATAACCCTTTACCCTGACTGACTTTGAGCATTTATTTTACAATCATGTAAAGTCATTTTGGAATGTTTTAAATCAATCTGATAGAACTTTTCCATCTTAGCGGTGAATTGATGTATCTCTGCAGTAGTCCTGTTCATTCTTATTTCTATGGGCCAGTTTCCAAGTATGGCTCCAGCATGTTCAAAGAGCTGTGACTACAAGGTAATTCAGTCTCCTTCCATGGTTAACCTGGACCAGTCCAGTTTGAGAATAAGCTCTCTGGAAATGGCCTGTCCTGGGTAAGAGGACCAAACAATTGGTGATTTGGAAGTACTGTAGTACGTTTGAACACTTGCCTTGTGTGCAATCACTGCATACTCCAATTATGCAACAACCACACTTCATTATTAGTAACACTACTAGTTATTTACATTGCAGTAATTTGCATCAATTCTGGACACTGATTGTAGCCAACAGGTCTATTGTGTTGCTGATCCAGACAATGAGACTAAAATTCCCTTTGGCATCTATACTAAGAGGGCTTAAAATTTTGAAGGGTTTTTTTTTTCTTGGTCATTTTGTGGTTTCCTTTGTTCATTTCGAATGTAAAACAATCAAAGACATTTTGTGTAGTTTTTCAAACTTATTTGGAGGCCATTGAGGCCCTTGCTATGTTTTGAAAGTAGAACTCAAGCTGTTCAACTTTTTTCTTTTTTTAAAGAAAATGTTGCACTAACCTTTGGTTTGTCTAATCACAAGAATCACATTGAGTAGGCATTTTATCTATACTAAGGATGGACTCCTTTGGGATTTAATTAACTCATTTCATTTTAACTACTGTTAGTGCTGAAAATGTTATAATGGCTTAAGTATTGGAAGATCGAACCATTAAAATATGAAATAGTATGAGTTTAAAGTGCTCTGAAATGCCTTGTGGGAACATCCAATTTTTTTAGCCTCTTCTGTACCATTCAGGCTAAATTGGCATGTTGAGCATGGTATGCTTTTAAATGAGGTAGAAATATATCTAAAGTGGAAGAAGTTGAGGTTAGCAAACTGCTTATTTGATACATAAGCACCACTTAAAAAAAGATTTGGGGTAATTTTTCATTTAGTGGGTAGGTTTTCTAACCTTTCCTTTCCCCAAAATATTCTTTCTAAAGAATCCTTTCTAATTTACCTTTCCTAAGTGAAAGAAACTGTTCCTTTTACATACTTCATTAGTAATGACTTGATAAAGAGACATTACACTTCTGTCTTTATTTTTTCTATTCATATTTGGCATCTGTCCCTCTCCATATACCCTTTTCTGTTTATGGACCTGATTTTGTACTTTGAATAGGGATGCTCTATAGGTTGGGAGAAGTAATTTCAGATGCTGCTAAGGGTAAAAGAGGACATACTGTCTCCCAGGTCTGCTGTGTTTACTATTTCAGATTTTAAAAAAGGAATATATTTGGACCACAAGCTCCCCCTTAGAAATACCTTCTTTGTACTAGGGATTGGCTTGATAAAAAGAAATAAACTAGGAATAACTTTTTCAGACTCAGTGTAAACCCAGGGTAGAACCTTGACTTTACCATTCTTCTCTATCCTTTTTCTACTGCCTACCTAGCACAAACTAAATGCCGAATACTTATCAGTGACCTTGAAGATGTCAATTCTTAGTGGGTACTAGGTATACTTCTGAGATAAAGGAAAAGGCAGGTTTCCCCAAGGTAAGTACAGGAAAATTTGAGCCGGGCAGAAGGTGGCAGCTGATGGAAAGATTCGAAGAATGAGCTGCTCTGCACAGGATGGAATACCTATTGATTTGCCTTTGAGAATTGCCATACCCGATGAGTCCTGATCCTTTATTCTGCATTTAAGTTTGTTATGATGTAGTCTAAATCTGTCTTTCCAAACATGTTACACTTTTTCCATTCGTTACACTTTATCCAGTGGATAATCACTATCCTTGCATGTATGTGCCCTTTATTTTTCGCCTCCATTATTTTTGCTCATGCTGTTCCCTCTGTTTGGAATCCCCTGTCCCCATCCGTCAAAATCTCATCTGTTTTTTCAGTTATTGCTCAGATGGCCTTGAAACATTCCATGATTTATTTTCTGCCCTCTCCATGGCATGCACCTTTGTTACATAGTGCCTTCATGTTAGCAATTATGTTGGTGCTTCTATTATCCCCTCCTATATTGTAGGGAAAGGGGCTGTTTTATTCTAATGCTCTCTGCATTCATGGTACACTCATGTGTCATAATAGATTTTGTAAATAGCAGATGGAAAGCAGGCAGGTGTAGGGAGGTTAAAAATATAGAAAAACTAGAAGTAATATGCACGTATATGGCGTTTTGTTATATATTTCAGTCTTGGCTATGACATTAGCTTTTGAGATCTCCCTGAGCCCATTCTGACTTTTTCCAGGCCTTTTCCAGGCTAAGGAGACATTGTGAAAAAACATTCACTGAACTAGACTTGGGGTCATTACATAGGGCCCATTCAAAGAGTGCCACTTGACTCACCAATATCCAGAGCTGTACAGAAGGGTACTGTGCTAACAATCCTGACATAACTGCTGTAGCTCATGGTCCTGTCATGCCAAAGACCAAGCTCTGGATGCAGCTGAAGAGACATAGGTGAGACCAAGTGGGTCCTAGGAAACAGTAGTGGGGGCCTTGTCCTGCGAACTAGTCTGGCTGATTTGTACACATTAGTTACCCAAGGGATAATACAGTCAGGAACAAAAGGACTTGAAGACAAGCAGAAACAGCCACTAGATTTTTGAAGTTTGTTCACATAATTCTTTTGTAATTCCATTTTCCCCACTTCATTTGGAGAGCTTAGATGGGAATAAAGAGCCATTAGGAACCCCTCCTTTGCTAGAACATTAGTCAAGCTGCCACTTTTAATACTTCTGTTTTAGTGGTATCTCCTGCGAAGAGAAGGTCCCTTTTTACCTGAACTCACCTGCTTGGGTGAAGTGGTTTGGTAACTAACCATTAGGAATTAATACTGTTTAACTCTTTTAAAGGTGGGTGAGACCATAATTACATAAATCCAAATAGTAAACTGCTATGGAAAATAATCTTTTGTTTAGCATTGGAGCTCCAATGTCCCATCCTCCAAGAGACCTTGGATTGTCTCTTTTGGATTCCATTGATAAAAAGCATACATATATCCCTTTGTGAAAGACAGGAAGTAATTTCTGATTATTAGGAGTGTTGGAGCTACAGGAGTGCAGAAGCAGTTTCAGAAACATCATTCCCAAGGTGAGGTTTTGTTTGGATGTGGGATGGAAGGAAGTGGCCCAACTTCAACCACATCTGCTACACAGTTTCTTTTTATTAGTGTAGCTTAGCTAATCGTATGAATTTAGACAAATCCCCCACTGGTCCAGAGTGGTCCCATGTTTCCTGCTGTAATTATACCTAGAGTCACATGGATCCACTGAGGAAAATACTCTTCAATCTTGCTGGAAGTTTCTTGTTATGATTAAACTGGGGCAGGGGGGAGGGGGGACAGGCAGGGAGGGGACTTGGAGCCATTGCAGTATTTCCCTAGCGATACTCAACAGGTTCTGCTCTGATATGTTTCTCTTTGATTCTTCCAGAGGCTTTGGCAGAGAGAATTCAAACAACTGCCATGGGAGATAGGTTACAGCCTTCACAG